TTCTAAGGGGAACTTCTTTTAATAACAATGTCCTTAACTGACAGGCCAAATGCACTCCAACTCCTCCTAAAATAAATTATATTGATGAAGATGTAAAGAAATTCACAGAATACATAACTTCAGTTGGAGCATGCTAACTATTTAGTTTAGTTTGTTTTATTTTATGTTTCTTTTCTTTCTTTAAAAAGTAGTAAAAGTAATATAGATTTATATTATTGGCGAATTTCAATATCTGGGGCGATGTCTACCAAATTGGCATCGGACGATGTCTACAGTGAAACATCGTGATGGACGATGGCATCGGGGGGCGGGGTTAGGGGGTGTGCCCGAAGCGTGAATCCGTTTGCAGAAAGGCACAGAAAACAAATAACGCGCTCTATGGAGCCACTAAAGGGACATGGTTAGCCGCTTGCTAGCGGTAAACTATTACATTACAGTACATGAAAGTTCACTTACCACATACAGAGTAAGGAGAGATGACTGATAGGACAATGGCGAATGATTTGCATATACTGAGCACCACTGACAAATATCTAATCTTGTAAAATGTGTGGTAGGGTAAGGCCGCTCAGCGAATCTCGAAAGTGAAAGTGAAAGTAAAATGAGAGCGCGCATTCGAAAGCGGTTTCAATGCCCTGCATATTAGTAGCGGCTCCCTGATGCCCGCAATTTATATACAGTATAATTACCCAACTATATAATTGCGAGAGAAAGTATTGAAATATATTTTTTATCATCCCATCTCGCAGGCCATTTATTCCCTTTAGGGGTTCTGTAGTACACTTAATTTCCTTTCCGAACACGGAATTGGAATGCGGCGGATTGCGGGGGGTATCACGATGCCGGCTCAACATCGTGATGTCTGTCAGCCATCGGCGATGGACGATAGCATCGTATATTGGCCCAACCATAATCTGGACATCTTTATGCTGATATATCAATAAGATCAGTTAAAAAACACAGCAGGTTTACACACTCTAACATCTGAAAGATAAGCATGACACTAAAGATTAGCATCTATGAACACAGAACGTGGATTTGAGCATTAAGGTAAACTGCATACAATAAAAACGCCTAATATGTATTGTTTTATATAGAACAGGGGTGTCCAGATCTTTTCCTGGAGGGCCACTGACCTGCAGCGTTTAGCTTCAACCCTAATTAAACACACCTGAACCTGAGCTAATCAAGGTCTTTAGACTTACTAGAAACTTCCAGGCAAGTGTTTTGAAGCTGGCTGGAGCTAAACTCTGCAGGATGTTGGCCCTCTAGGAGCAGGATTGGACACCCCTGATATGGTGTGTGCATATGGGAGCTGAAGCAGCAAAACACGCTATTGCGAGTGAGAGCTCCACTTACCCCTAGCGTGACGATTTGTTATTGTCTGTCCATGTTGTTCTCTGCGTCAATAGCAGCACATCATTTTTATCCTGTCCAATAGTCTGGATGCCATCAGAGGAAACTTCTCTCCTATAACAGACTCCTCTGTGTTGCAGCTTTCTGACTGACAGCAAAACAAAGAGAGGAAAAACAAGAGTCTGACTTCTGTTTGAAGGTTGTACAACTCCAATGCTGAGGTGTTCCGAAGGATTTTATAAAAAGAAGAAAGCAAGTGAGAAAAAAACAAGCAACTGGAAAGAATGACAGAAGAGAAGGTAGGTGAGTGAGTAAGAGAGGGAGAGAAGGAAAAAGGAGGGAGAAAAAAAGAGAGCAAGAGGGCACATGAGAGGTTACTAGCGGTCGTTCACGGGGCTGTGAAATCCCCACAGAGGCCTGAGCTCAAACATTTCTCTCTTGTAAGTGTGTCTCCCAAAGCACATCTTTCACACATCTTGGAATTTAGAAAGATATGGAGTCATTGAACAGATGCACAAAAACCATCTCAGTGGAAGCACTTTGAACAATAAATAGGAGGAGGCACTTATAGAAACTATTCACCACTCTGGTGAACCCTGGATATTATTTATGCATTTACTGAATTAAAAAATTAAAAAAGCATTAATGGGAGTCCTGCCACTAGACACCATAAAACATTTGTGCTTTATGTCGAGCAGGAGACAACCCTGACATGCTTCATCCAAATGTTACAGCTTTGCCAGAAACAGACCAAAGTCCAGGTTATGTCACCAGCTGTACAAAACTTATGAAATAAAACAAATAAAATTGAAACTGCAACTATAAATTCATAAAAAGTCAGAAACTCTTACGACAATAAACAACCATTTGTAATATACAAACAGGAAAGTAAAATACACTTTGCAAGATTCTAAAGAAACCGATTTTGTTCATAAATTGCATGATAATCAGCCGACATTATAGCAGCTGTAAGAAATGACAATGGTTCAGTTGTAAAAAGGAGAAAGAGTCCTGTCATTGTCTCAATTCCCCTTTGTTAAAGGGTTCAATGAATTGTATATATCTTATTTGAATTAAACACTTATTAAAATCACATTGAACATGACTCGAAGTAAACCAATGGAAGGTTTTTTTCAGTGTCCAATGTTCTGCAGTTATCAGTGGGCTGTAACCTTTGTCCTGTAAACCAGTGTGCTCTACATCTGCCAGATCAAGAGTCAGCTCATCTGCTGGCAGATATGATAGCTGGATAGAGACAATGATCAACTGAAACAAGAATAATAGGCCATCATTCAGACTACTTAATTTTTGAAGAAATATTTAATTTGCTCTTATGTTAATTTGCAATGTGTTTATCGCAAAGTGCTGCCTGAAAGTTTCAAGCCCAGAAACAGGTTAAAGTTAAGATTCAGCTTTTTTTTTAGGAAGTGGTGTTTTCCAATTTTGTACAAGGTTCCTCTAAATTTGTCATGAGAATTAAGAGGAAGAAATCCTTACTATACATAGGACGCAGATTCATAATGCAAGGCGGCAACATCCGATTTAGTCTAAAAGTACTCTTGGCTTATACCCTCTACATGGAACTACTTTTGCGGCTGATAGATACAAAAAAAAAGGCAAAGCAACATATAGAGATGATGCATGGGCTGGTTTCCACATTGAAACAGACTATGTCTATCACCAAACTAAAAAAAGAGGTATTTTATAGAAAATGTCTACAAAACTCACCCACCATTTCATGCACGGTATAAAATGGTAAATTATGCATGAACTATGCATGAACTATAAATGAACAGGGTGTCACACTTGTGGTATTTTGTTGAAGGCATAACTTTCTCCACGGCTGTAAACAAACAACTTGCCAGACACAAATAACAGAGCAAAAAACTGCTCTTTCACAAACATACAGATGGCAATGACTGCACATAAACTCCTATATTAAAGTAATTGTATTCCTCACAAAACAGGTCTTGAATAAATAATGTGTCAGCATAGTTGAAAAAGCACTCATTGCTGCTAAATGTGCTTTTTACAGCATGGCATGTTAAAAGTAGGGTACGGTACATTAGGTTGTAAGTAATCATAGATGTGCTGATAGTTGCGATGAAATGGAAGTAGCAGCAGATCTTTTCTTCTGTATTGTGATATACATCTGAGTGTAACGGATTACTGAAAAAAAAAATGTATGGTGGAGAATTGACTATCTAACGGTTGGATTTTGAGATGCAACTGTTGCACTCAAAAATGGGAGTATGAGCTGTCTGCAGAACAAAAGTGGGCGTTTCTAAATTTGTGGGTGTTTTCAAACTGGTGGGTGTTAATAAATCATGCAATGAAAATGATGCCCCTTACTTGACCCCTTCCCTAAACACAACTGTCACTGAGACGTGAGCAAATCAAAAGGCTGCTCACTGCAGAGCCAAAGGGGTGGAGCTTGATGTCCAGCTCCCCCTCACTGAACGTAATGTGTGGTGCTAGATGGCCCAACCACACCCTAACCCTATCTCTAAACATAACTCCTGAGATCATAATGAGATCTCAGAGAGGAGGAGCTGGATATCATTCAGCTCTGCAGTGAGCACTACTTGAGCAAATCAGGTAACACGATCGAAAACGCCCATCTGTTATGGCCTCGCCCACTGGTCTAGAAACTCCCATTACTGTCCTACAGAGACCTATACCTGAAAAAAACGCCTGCAAGCCTGCAGGTGTGGGTTCAAGCGGACTAGATGATTGGAGAAGTCTGGCATACGTCATAGTTCTGGCAAATTTCATATACTGTTTTTATTTACATACAACAATGAAAAATCAATCATCAAGATGATTAGTTTCACCAACCAACGTACAGGCTGAAACCCAGCCTAGAATAGCATATGTAGCAAAGCGACTGAAATTCCCCTCGTTCTGCAATCCTTCTCCACTCTGTGTTTTCCATTTCAGAGAGAGAAAGAAACCCGCTCAGATATGGAATGCCAAACCTGACAAAATTAGAAATAAATAAATACATAAATAAATATACAAATCAATTTAAAAAAAGCAAAAATAAACAAAACAATATATAAATAAACATACAAAGAAAAGTACAAAAAATTATTTATACTTTTATTTCCTTATTTGTTTATTTTTATTTTTTCCATTTATTTTTTATTTTATTTATTTATACATTTATCTATTCCCACATTTACGTATTTATTTACGCATTTCTTTCGATATTTATTTATTTCCACATTTATTTATTTATACATTTCTTAATTTTCACATTTATTTATTTATACATTTCTTTATCCGTAGGGTAATGAGGAGGGCATGTTTTACCTCAGGAATAGTAATCGAGACAGAGTAGGCGAGTTGTAAGCTTTGAGGCCACAGTGACACCTTGTGGTGCCCAAACCAAATACAAGAAGTGTAGCCTACATGACGGGCCTGTTGGTAGTGGGATGAATGACTTAGATTGGCAATATGGCCAAAATCTGATATCATGGGTTAAGTCATTTAATATCTCCTAACTGTATGTATACTACGGAGACCCTAAAGAGACATGTTGGTGGGAAAAATATGGGATGGGAGGAAAAAATATCTTTCAAATCTTTTGCATTCTCTAGCAAAACTTTTGCATTCCCCCGAGAAACTTTGCGTTCGCTCACAAAACTTTTGCGTTCTCACTTGGACTCAAGTATAAAGAACGTGTTTTCTTCCCCGTAGAAAACACATTATAAAGAAAAATCTTAACATGGCTTAATGGATTAGTGCTTTGCTTGCCTGTACATAGTATACATTTTTTTAAAATAAATTATGTATAAAATGTGGGCTTTTTATATCACTGTCTTCTTATAGGGTTATTAAGCAACGTTAAGCTAAGCGTGTCATATTCTGGCCTATTCTGATTGTCTGTAAATAGTAAGCTTTATTAATAAGGTGTACTGAATTTGGTCCTCCAATGTAACTGTTTTAGTATATTAAGCCACATTAAGCATTTTAGAAAGTTCAAGGCAAGGTTTTGGGACAAAGCACTGACTGTATTTCTTTATACTTGAGTCCAAGTTCAAAATAAAACTCTTTGAACCCTCCATTGTGAATGTACAGAGCTGTATGAACCACTGCAAGCTGTAAAGTAAACAGAAAGTGTTTGTCCGAACTCAACTGGTTTTGTGAGAAAACGCAAAAGTTTTGCGAGCGAACGCAAAAAATTTGAAAAACATTGTTTCCTCCCACCCCGTAGTTTTCCCACCAATTGAAGTCATTCATCCCACTACCAACAGGCCCGTCATGTAGGCTACACTTCTTGTATTTCCTTTGGGCAACACAAAGTGTCACTGTGGCCTCAAAGCTTACAACTCGCCTACTCTGTCTGGATTACTATTCCTGAGGTAAAACACGCTCTTCTCATTACCCTACAGATAAGGAAATGTAGAAATAAATAAATGTGAAAATTAAGAAATGTAGAAATAAATAAATATGTAAATAAATATGTAAATGTGGAAATAAATAAACGTATAAATAATTAAAAGAAAATAAATAAATGTGGGGGAAAAAATTAAAACACAAGGCAATAAAAGAATAAATAATTATGTTTTTTTTTTTTCTTCATATATTTATTTATTTATGCTTTTTTACATTTCTTTGTATATTTATTTTTTTCTAATTTTGACAAAAAAAATTAAAACACAAGGCAATAAAAGAATAAATAATTATGTTTTTTTTTTTCTTCATATATTTATTTATTTATGCTTTTTTACATTTCTTTGTATATTTATTTTTTTCTAATTTTGACAGGTTTGGCATTCCATACTCAGAGCGCTGCTGGAAACACCGACGCTCTTCTGCTCGTCGCTGCAGGCAGGAGCCACGCAGCTACGTTTCGAATCTCGAATAAAAACGGATCTATTAAAAACAGTGACACTGCTGTCATCCTAATAACTACCAGCAGATTTGTTAGGTCACTCGATCTGTCAAATTAGAGGACCAGAGCAGTTGTATAAAACGGCTCTCTGTAACTATTCTTTCACACTCCTTTCTGTGAAGGATTCTGAGTAAATTAGCCGGCTTTAGTCTGACTCTGCACCTCAAATACTGTAACTCTAAGGATTAACCTCTAATAAACTCACGACATGATCAACAAGGCAGATTACAACTCATAAAACTGTACTGAAAAGCAGTGTTTGGTGTTCAGTTAGCCAAAACACCCTGCTAGCCTGTGGTCCTTAAAACAACACTGGTGTAACAAAATAAACAAAAACAACCCCTGCAATTACCATCTAAACACTGAGAGAATAAATCTGAAAGCGTTACGTTAAGTGAGTTAGACAACTTCCGTTTGATCCGGAGTGTTTACAAGCGTTGTATTATACTAAGCACCTAGCACTGACAGACATGTCTCCCATCATGACAGGGATATGAGCTAACATACTGTATGTATACCTCATTAAACGGACCCCGGCGCTGCGTAAACTCTCCTGAAACGCTCTCATTAGATGACCTGATCAAATGGTGGTCAAATGAAAATAACGCTCATTTTCTAGTGATACCTCGCTTTGCTGAAGATGACAAGATCTTTAATCCAGCACGGTGAACTTTACACTGGCGATGTGAAGAGAGAAACGCCTAGGTAGGCCGTGGAGAGAGATAGCTCTAAGATGGCTACATACAATCACAGGACTGTTATTGTCTTCTGCCTTCAAAATAAAAGTGCCTTAGTGACAAGTGCACACCTTTGACTGATATATTTGACGCCATAATCGCTATAAATATGTCTAACAACTCATTTTCTAGAAATAATGGTGGTTAAATTAAGATTCTTTTAAATATTCAGTCAAAAAATAACACTGTAAACAAGATGTATCTGACATGTCTAAACCGGTAACCGGTATGTGACGATATATACTCGTTTGATTGTATGGGAATGCAAGGGAAATTGCATATTTTTATTAGATGCTGTAACTTGCCAATCTATTCAATCACATATTCGCTCAATATTTTGTATCTTTAGTGGTGGTACTGGCATCATTATTAGAAGTATTATCGTTTTAGCTAATGCTGTTTATTGAAAATATAGATAGTTTGCAAACAGACAGTCTTGTGTCATATAAAAGGCATGTCCATATATACAGTATGAATATAAATGCCCATTGCCCACACATACATGGGAAAGAAGCAAATAAAGATTAGTGAAATGTGTACTGTCGAGGGCTGCTTTCGGAATAGCACTAACTTACTTCTGCCATATAAAGATAAAAAATTATTGCAGAAATAGTAAAATAGCACGCTTTTCCGAATTTATACAAGGAGAGTATTTTACAGACTGGATGGACAGTATTATTGAAGTCCGGCAGATGGCAGTAGAGTCCTAAGAGTCCTATATTTTGTTCTGCAGCCATCACTAAAGAAAAACCGACACCTAAAGCCAACCGCCATAAAACTCCAAAAGAAGAAGAAGAAGAAAAACTGGTCTGAACCGGTCACGTGATTCAAACAAACAAAAATAACGTCTTAATAATGGTTTGACTCCGTGTATGCAGTGAACTGGAACTGAAGTAGATGTAAATCGTCAATATAAGTCGTATATTAAGATATATACGAAACGTATTATGCATTTAAGCTTTTAATTTACAGCTTCGGTGTAGGATCTGGCATGTGACTGACTGACTGAATGAATGAATGCTTGGCTACAAAAGTATAGCAGCGTTGATCAATACAAAGTAGTCCTGATATTACTATAAGAGCTAATCCATTAACCATGCGGAGAAGACCACAGTCTGCAGCTTTGACACCGGCATTTTTGAGGTTTGGTCATTTTTGGAGCTCTGCGAGAATTGTGTGTTATTATTACCGACGTTATCTACAGCCTAATGTTACAGTGTAGCCTTTCATATTTGAATGCTGCAATGTTATCTAATATCACCATTTGATGGTGCAGTGTTACCTGAACAAACCACAGGATTGTCCGGTTATTTACTGTACTGAGAACATTTTTATTCATCTGGCAGCTGAAAACCATGGCATGCGATTTTTTTTTTTTAATTAATGCTAGAATTTATAATGAACATGCTGTGCTTTGTTTTAAAGCAGAGCTGGGAGTGAGAAAACAGTTTCTACAGCTGCAGCACAGTCCCAGTTTCACACAGACCTCTGGCTCTGTTTCACTGTGCAGAACTGGATATTGGACTTTGGGAGGCCAATTGCTATGGTACAAGTTGAACCAAGCTGTGATATTTATGCATTGTTGTATTTTTTTCTTCTTTGATACCATTAACAATTTTTTTATGTTTTTAATTTAGATCATAATGCCCCTGGAATGGTTTCCTCTAAATAAACCCAGTGTTGGAGATTATTTTCACATGACATATAATGTCATCACACCGTTCTTATTACTGAAGGTACACACTTTCTTATACACTTGAAATATTAACAAAAGGATATATTCACACACACACACACAGTGGACCTTAATGTGCAGTTCTTATAGGATGTTCCTTTCCTCTAACCGTTAGCCTATATATATATATATATATATATTTGAGTGTGCTTTTGTTTGAGATACAAAAGTAGACATTTATTAATTTAGCAGACGATTCATTTATCCAAAGTGACTTATAAATGAGGAATACAACAAGTGATTCAACAAAAGGCAAATAAACACAAGTAATGCTCATAACATAAAGTTTCAATACAAGCTAGAACAGGGAGTGATTAAGGGAAAGTGAAAGCATAGATTTTTTTTTTTTTTTTAAAGTAGGATGCAGTTAAAGGGATAGTTCACCCAAAAATGAAAATTACCCCATGATTTACTCACCCTCAAGCCATCCTAGGTGTATATGGCTTCCTTCTCTCAGATGAATTCAATCGGAGTTATATTAAAAAATGTCCTGGCTCTTCCAAGCTTTATAATAGCAGTGAATGTGGGTCGAGATTTTGAAGCCCAAAAAAGTATCCATCATAAAAAGTGCCCCACATGGCTCCGGGGGGGTTAATAAAGTCTGAAGCGAAGCAATGCATTTGTGTAAGAAAAATATCCATATTTAAAACTTTATAAACCGTACTTACACTATGTTACACCTACATCATCCGCTGGAACGTCACTCTTTCGTGAACGCGCGTACGACAGGTAATGCAAGCTAGAGATTACAGTTTTTAAAGTTTTTAATATGGGTATTTTTCTTACACAAACACATCGCTTCCCTTCAGACGGCCTTTATTAACCCCCCGGAGCCGTGTGGAGCACTTTTTATGATGGATGGACACTTTTTGTGGCTTCAAAATCTCAACCCCCATTCACTGCCATTATAAAGCTTGGAAGAGCCAGCCCATTTTTTAATATACATGTCCCTTTCTTCCTCATCCTCTTCTTGTATTTCACTGGCTGCTTTACACAAGTTAAAGATGAGAAGATGCCTTACTCAGGCTGGCTGCTACTTGGCCCCAGTGCAGTGTACTATTGGTAAGTGAATTATTAATTCAAGTCAATTGCATGCCTTTTTTGAGATGTAGAATTTCAAGTCACTGTGAAACAACATGCTCAAGCCATTTTATTTCTGTAATGTATTTACAAGTAAAACAGAATATTTAATGAAAAAATTAGCCAACAATACATTAGGCTTTAGATAATAAACGTTCATGTTGTCCAAACATTAATGTGGTTTATTTCTTCAGGTATCTGATTACTGAGGGGCAGATCTTTGTCCTGTATGTCTTCACCTTTTTTGCCATGGTTGCCACTGTGATGCGCCAGAGACGGATGGGCTTCGTGTTAGACAGCAATGGCCGTTTCCTCTTCTATAACTTTATCATTACCCTGGGATTAGTTCTGGTCTGGGTCGCATATCTGTGGAATGATAAAGTTTTGCGCAAAAAGTATCCCGGTATCATCTATGTTCCAGAGCCTTGGTCCTTCTATACCTTACACATCAAAGGCAGTTAAATACTAATAGAGAATCAGAACTAAATTTCATTGACATTTCTCCAGTAAAATATACAGTATATGTATATATATATACAGTGGGTACGGAAAGTATTCAGACCCATAAAATGCTTTCACCAAGTTTAATGGACTTAAGTTCCAGTGTTACTTAAAGGGATTGCTCACCCAAAAATGAAAATTCTGTCCTCAATTTATTCCAAACCTGTATGAATTTCTTGTTGACCACAAAAGAAGATCATTTGAAGAATGTTGGTAACCAAACAGTTGACGGTAGCCATTGACTTCCACAGTATAGGGAAAGGGGGAAAAAACGTTTGGTTACCAACATTCTCAAAATGTCTTCTTTTGTGTTCAACAGAAGAAAGAAACTTAAACAGGTTTAAGTTGAGTGTGAGTAAATTATGATAGAATTTAAATTTTTGGGTGAACTATCCCCTTTAAAGAGTTGGTTTTAAGGTTGAATCTTCACAAGGCAAACTATACAATGCCATGTTTGTAATTTTGGTGTACTGAATAATAAAGTCATTTATTTATTGTGGCTTACAGTAAAAATGTTGCTTTTATGTCCTTGTTTTTTCTGAATAAAGTTTGTACTCCCTATATATGTTGTGAGTCATTAAGTGTGATCATGAGCTGCACCTACTGCAGTGGACAGTACAATGTGATAGGTGGAATCCTACATCAATGTTCCTATGACAACGAGGCTATCATTTACGTCAACACTGCAGTGGACTTTAGTTCCTACAGGTAATCCAGAGGGAGTGACTCTTTCCCTGAACACCCAAAACGTGTGTAGACATGGTGAGTTTGATATATTCTTTTTCTCTTCTAAAACTAGACAATGTTTTTATTCAGAAAATATATCATTGGACATTTTTTAAAAGGTTTCTCCTGAAATAATTTTAGAATTTTTGTCATATAGTAAGTTTAAAGACTAATTGTTATTGCTATTTTTGTTGTTACTGTCATATTAGTTTATATTTTTATTAATTTTTTTGCATGTTGAATTTTTAAGACAAAATTGTAAAATTATTGTAAACATATTGAAAGGATGCTCATTGAATTGTTTGAATGATGCAGTTGAACTGTTTTTGCCATGAATATAGCCATTGCTACTGACATGGCGTTAAATCATAAATACATTTGTCGTCTCTAAATTTCATTTTTCAATGATTCATGGTACAATTTTCATCTATGCTGTTTTATAAAACTCTCTTTCCAGGCAAAATTCTTATCACAAACTCAGATTGATGGTGAGCTGTGTTACACAGAAGTAATGTGTTTGTCCTTTGCGATCTATGAATATAGTAAAATAAACTAAATTGTTCTTTTAAAAAAATGAAATGTACAGAACATTAAGAATATTTGTGGCATTGGTTTATACTGTCGTTTCCTTGTTCTCATGCAGAGTTCAAAGAATGTTTCTCGCTTTATGACAAGAAGCGAAAGGGGAAGATTGAAGCCAAAGACCTTATTACAGTCATGCGCTGTCTGGGTACAAGTCCCACATATAATGAAGTGGACAGACATCTGCAAATCCACAAAATAGGTAACAATCTCATGATTAACACATTACATTGAATTGGGAATATGTCTTCCTTGTCTGTTCTTCCGTAGCTTCCTAGTGTCACCTGTGGCTAACAGCGATATACAATTGGACTAGTGGTCTCATTATGCTGAGCATGTTCAGGAATTGGTATCAGGCATAATCTGAAGAAAAATGCTTAGTAGTTAATCCTGAATTTGAGTTCTTTGCTTTCTTTAAATGTTAGTAGTTCATACATCTTTTATTGTATCCTCACCACAGCTAAGACAGGGGAGTTGGATTTTTCTACATTTCTAACCATGATGCACAGACAGATGCAACAGGAAGATCCTAAGACTGAAATTCTGGAGGCTATGCGCATGACGGACAAACATAAGAAGGGCTACATTCTGGCTTCTGAGCTACGGGCCAAACTCACAGGCTTGGGAGAAAAGCTCACAGATAAAGAAGGTATAAATCATCTGTGATTTAGTTTCTGGGTTTACGCTGGTGTATTCATCAGAGCTAATCAAATTGGCAAAATTGTGTTTTTTTTATATATATTTTTATTATTATTATTAAATATCAGGATCAGTACTTATTTTAATAAAATTAATCCCATTTATGAATCCTGTTTGAGTTTAGAAATAAATTTAATCTCTCGATTTTTTTTTTAATTAAAATAATTAAAACAACTAACAAACTAACCCCAGTATTAATACTATAAGATAGAATAAAATGTGTTGTTTAACTATTCTTTAATTGTGAATTATTTTTCAGTGGATGAGCTTTTTAAAGAGGCTAATGTCGGACCTGATGGACTTATTTATTATGAGAAGTTCACCAGAATGGTCACACTTCCTACAATTGACTACTAATAAAGAAGAAAGGGTTGGACCCTTACCCTAAATAATGCAAATATTTACTAGCACGAATGAAATATTTTTGTTCTGTGTATACATTGTATATAAAATAACAATTGATTAAATGCTACAATAAAGAACTCATATTTGGATCTACAGCTTGACTCAAGTATTCACCACTAGATGGCAATCATGAAGTAATCTGAATAAATGTGGCAGGGTTGATAAACACTTTGTCATGATATACAGAATATTAAAGACGTTTGACGATTGTTAAACAGTGAATGAAATTGAAGATGTTTGTTGTACACATTCGATCTATTTTTAATCTATTTACAAAATACAAAACAGAAACCTATGAGACTGACTCCATCCTTTCCCCAATCCAGAGCTTTCATGAACTCCTCTTCAGTGAAGGACAGCAGCTTGGCTGCTTCAAAATGCAGCTTTTAAAATAAAGCCATAAATATAAAATGCTTCAAAAAAAGTGCAGTTAGTGATTTAACTGTAACTGGAAATGACAGATTCAAGTAATTGTGAAGAAACTGATGTCTTACCTTCTGTCGTTTTAAAATATCTATTAGCTTAAGTTGCTTTTTAAAACCTGCAATGAGCTCAGCCTTCTGCCGTTCCAGTTTTCTGTTCTCAGCTTGTAAGGTTTCAAACGTTTGTTGCTCCTGACTGGTCGAATCCTTAGGTAGGGTACACAAACAGAAGAGAAAAGCTAAATATAAATCTGAAAAACGTCTGGAGTAAGATGTGGTGCAAAATATTTTGTTGCACATAAACTTCACTTGTTTTATCTGAGGTGACGTTACCTTACTGCTCTGTTTGAGTTTGGGTACTGGCTGCCTGCTTGTGGGTCCTCTTCATGCTTTCCAACTCCTAGAGTGTAGACACATGCATTTACATATACCTTAATAAAACATATTATGAAGATTGTCTTTTCTGATGCAGATGTCCCAATTAAATATTTATTGTTTGTCAAAAAAGTTGGATCTTTGAAGGAGCTTTTAAACCTAAAACTACCCAAACATGAGATATTTTTAATAAGTCTAAAGTGAGATGACAGTGAATGTTTTTTTATTTTTATCTGACTCTACTGTTGTTCTCTATCCTTACTCAGTTTCCATGTCTCTATCATAAGGGGAAGGGTGAGTTCCAAAGATATCTGTCCCAGAAGCCCAAGTGCAGTGTGCTCTGGTCTCTGAGCAGCTGTGGCGTAGTCTCACTTTACACACAGAGGACTAATCAGGTTAAAGGGCCCATGCCAAGGATTCCATGGCTCTGGATCCTGGCACAGCTCTAATTAACAGGAATTATGGCATTTATACTATACATCTATAGGAAATGAGTTGAGGTTTAAAATAAATGATCAAAAATTGTCAAAGAAACAGTAACACTTGTTCTGTCATAAGGTCACTTTTTTTCAGTAGCTTGTGGGGAGAACTTTGAATAATATTTTGCCAACAATTCAAGTACCTTTTGCAGTGCTGCCACTTGCTGTTGCAGTCCTTCACATTTCAGGAAAAGCTCTTTGCTTCTCAACTTGAGTCTGTTGGACATTTGTAGTCCTCTGCAATCTTGTTCTTTCCTCCTCCAAGTGCTTCAGTTTGCTGTTTAAAGTGCCGTTTTCATCATCCTTCAAGACACGCAAAAGAGATTTTGAGTAAGAGTAACTTAACTGATTGAATAGATTAACTAACCTTGAACACATCTCAAACTTACCTTCTTGTTGCATTCATATACGAGTCTGGTCAATTCTTCCTGCATTACTCGAAGTTTAGCCTTCAAAAATCTGATTTGAGCTTCTGTGAATATGGAATGAATGTATAAGCAATAATGAAAATAGTTTAACACCGCAGCAGATTCGATACTTGAACGTATTTGTCCTTTTTAACCAATCTCATCTCCAGCACTGGGCATGATGTCATCCTGCAAGTGTTCCTCAGTGAGATCATCACTAACTCTGTCCTCAATTTTGCTGATTGTCTTAGCAAGTGAGAAATCCCCAAAGTCTTCAGGAATAGCAACATCATCAACCACAGTCTGTGGTGCTTTTCTAAAATCGGAAGAAGCTGCTGATGCTACCCAAACATCTTTGACAGATAAAGGCCCAGATTCATCCAGATTTTATGGGATTTTATTTTTATGTTTTATGTTTGAATAAAAGTTTTGAGAATACACTTACTGGGGATTCTTTCGATTTCCTGATCCTGGCTTGTTTGGCTTTGAAGATTTTGCAGAGTAGTTCTTGTTTCTCATGATCCACGTAACGCAACAGAAATATGTTGCTGTAACTAATGGGGTCTTGTATTTAATCCACATTTGCAATGATTCATATGATATTTGTTTGAGTTGTACCATTGTAGAGGGCGGCCGTCAGCGGGCAAACAGGTGAAACACTGGGCCCATGATCTAAAGTATCCAGATAGAAATGTGTTACCCATTCTCAATGGGAAAGTGCCCAAGCAACATTGCTAAAAAAAAAAAAAAAAAAAGTTGCCCCGTGTATCATCACCTTTAGTGACTGGGTTTGTGGCAACATCACACATATTGCATTCTATACTATACATTACTATAGCTATATGTTAAAAGATACAGATTAAAAGCACAGCCTGTATTCTCTCAAAATCTTTCTTACAAGAATCTCATGTGTTGTTTTTCATGTTTTTCTAGTCTTACCATAACTTTCTCTGTTGTTTTTGTAGTTTCTACATGTTCAGTGTTTTTTATTACGAATTCCATAGTTTACTATACAATTTATTTTAAAAACGATATAACCATGGTAATGAGAACCATGGTTTTACTTGTTGTGACCACCGTCTTACTAACACTAGTCAGTTAAACTATGCAAGAACTATAGTACATTTCATTAGTGAAAAGGACAATTGAACAGAATAGCTTTAATAGCTTCTTTCTCTTTAAATGTTTAGTTCTAATTCATTTTAATTAAAGTAAAATGTTAATTCAATAAGAGCCTGATTAAAGATAAATATCAGTGTCTTATATAAATTAGGTGTTAACATACAAACGTTAAAGTCCTTAAAGGGATAGTTCACCCAAAAAATAAAATTGTCATAATTTACTCGCCATCGTGTCATTCCAAACCAGTATGAATTTCTTTATTCTGTGGAACATAAAAGAAGATAATTTGAAAAATTAAAAAATCTTTTGTCTATACATATCAAGAGTAACCTAAATGGTTTGGTAAGATTCTACAAAATATCTTCTTTTGTGTTCCACAGAAGAAAGTATGTCATACAGGTTTGGAATGACATGAGGGTGAGGAAATGATGACAGAATTTAACAGCAATACATTTTCTGCATTCTAGCTCAAAATCAGTGCTTTACTGTCAAGTGCATTTCTATGTGACAAAAATGCATTATAAGTTTGTTGCATTTGCCGTTAATTTAATAATATATATTATTATTTGTTTCTGCCCTGTTTTATTTATTCATTTCTTTACTCCAATTTAAAGCCCTATAACCCAGCAAAACATTTACACAACTCGAGGGCTGGATAAGCTGGATTTGTCCAACCCCAGTCCAGCCCTGTACACCATGTATTCAAACCATGTAGTGAATGAAATATATATGGTTATTTTGTCCTTCATAAAAGGAGTCTAATAGCCTCTACCCCTTCGAGGGCATGAAGTGTCCAACAGTTCAGTTATTTAAGTGCATCATCCGGGTATTTAAAAGTGCACTTTTTCCTTTTGGAATTTTCAGTGCTCGATTTACTACAAAACGTCACAGAATAGTGCATAAGTACGCGATTTGGGACGCACCTAGTGTCTACCTTCCCTCCTTCCATTTTCATCGGAGGCATTTAATTTTAAGTCAAATAATTTGAGGACATTCTATGTCATATGCATTTCAGTGAGGCGATTTTATGCATACACACTTGATTCTTTTAATTCCTGATTTTTTAAAATAAAAATGCAATCGTAATTAATGTACTTGAAAAATAAATCAAAGATAAAATCCGTATGATGTGTATTTCAGACCATTAGTTATTTTATTTATATATTAACTGCAAAATATGTCAAGGGAATTCCAACACAACACAACTCCCAAAATGAACTAAAAGTGCCTGATAAAAAAAAGACAACTGAATATGGTTGGAATCTTGTAAAGCAATAAGAGGGATATTATTAATTCTTACGGACAGAGTGATTGATCATTATACTTATGAACTACAAGAACTCGCTGCAGCTCCCTCGTGTGGGTTTCCGCTGGTGGCGCAGTGCGCATGCGCGGTCCCAGCAGCATCAGCTTCCCCAGTGGTCGCCAGTCAGCAAGTAGGTAGGCACTAGGCAGCGTCTGACTCTGAACCAGCAGCAGCTCGAAGTGTTTCCCTGCTCCTGATGCTCGCGCAGGGCTAGTGACCTCGACTGCAAACCATGAATTACCAACGTGATCTATCAGAGCCGAATCCGATTTGTCCGTGAAGTCAACAGGCGGTGATCGTGATGTACTATTTACGGAGGAAAGCTGCATTCTCCAGGTTCAGGTTAAGGCCTACTTGTTAGATCCCCATCCTCGTCTCAACGGAGTCGCATCGTGATGGCTGAAGACCAGCAGCAGTCTGGCCCTGGAGTAGGACCTTTACCTTCCGCGGTTCAAGGATTGCACGGGGCTGAGGCGAATGCGTTGCAGCTAAAAATAAAGAACTCGATCTGGTAAGCGCTGTGCGAGATATTGCTCAGCAAGTGAGTGCTGCTGGATATGTGTGGGTAATGGAATTGAAGGTCTTACATCCTAAATAGCTCTATTCTAGATGATCCCTCGTTTCCACTTGACAGTGAGTCATGATGACTAGAGTAAGTTAACTCCCTCCATTCAATTAATTCAACCGTTTCTTTCCTTATTATAATAACGATAAGTAAACTTGTCAAAGTTGTTTGTTTGTTTTGGACACCGACATTTTGGGCTGAGCAGAATATTCATGTTACAATCTGAAGTGGGTTACTCGTCCTGACTGTCGTGAACATGTGTAGTCGTTATTTACAGGCAAAGAGCTGCTTTTGTCTTCTTTATGAAAGTGAAACGTCTGTGTCTTGGATGGATTGGGAGAAAGATTTCCCGCGACCACGCGCTTTCAACAGACACTGTGGGCGCGCTTGCGGTGG